CGCCGCTGCTGTGTTCCGACGCGCCTGTACCCGTTACAAGCCTGCTGCTGGCTCCGTTACTGCCGGCTTCTAGCGGGTCCAGAATATCCGGCTCATGCATGTTCTTTTTATTCACGAGATAAGCGTGCGGAGCGTCGGGGTACAGTTGCAGCACTGTGCGCTTACGGAGGCGGCCTCTAGCGGATCGAACCACCTCCTTGAAGGTCGCTTCCAGGCAATCTGCGAGGAAGGTCGGGGCGAAATGCGCGGAGAGAGAACGAGACATCTTAGCTGATCGGCCAGATGGAAACGCGTTACTGCTGCTGCTGCTACTGCTGCTGGTGGTGATAGTAATGTTGGTTGAATCGGTCTTGATTGTGTCTGTGTCGCCGCTAGTCGCGCTAGTACTGTGGGGGGTAGCTGCTGACGTGGCTGGTGTCTCGCCGTCCTGTGCTGCTGCGGGGAGCGCGGTTGACACGGGCGCGTCCGTACGCTCCGGCGGAGCTGTAACCGTTACTACACAGTTGCACTTGCTCGAGGGAGGGGCGGTTACTGGTCTTTGCGGCGGCTGGCGGAGCAAGTTCGCGGCGGCGAGAGCGGCCCGCGAGTGCGAGCGGGGGTGAGGGAGCGAGGGGGCGTGCGGCGAGAGCGTGTGGGAGAGAGTGTGGATGACGGTGGCTCGCAGCTGCGACAGAATCTGAAACGCCCTGCAGCGCTCTAGAGCATCGTCTGCGACGGCGAAGGCGATCAGACCCTGACCGAAGGAGAGGAAGAGGTTCGTGCGGCCGTAGCCCTGTTGTTGTGGAACAGGTAAGGGAAGAGGGCGGGAGGAGGGGGGGGGGGGGGGGGGGGGGGGGGGGGGAGAGGGAGGGGGGAGGGGAGAGGGGGGGCGTGAAAAGGGGAGCAGCTTAAGGGGAGCGGGAAATGGGTCTGGCAGGAGCTGCAGCTGGCCAAAGCGTCGTCCGCGGCGGGGAGGCGATCAGGCCCTGACCGAAGGAGAGGAGGAGGTTGGTGCGACCGTAGTCCTGATGGGAGGGTGAAGGGGAGGAATGAAGGGGAGGAATGAAGGGTGGGGATTGAAGGAGGAAGCAAAGGAGGGAGGGGGAAGAGGGGGAGAGAACGGATTCAGCTACTACATCTTCTTTTTACAACCCTGAACAGGGTTATGACCAAACTAGGGTTTGTGCTTCGCCTATGCTTTTTTTTGTACGCAGACCAAACTAGGGTTTGTGGTGGACTGACGAAACGATGGATACTATGATAAAGACTCGACGACTCATTAAAGTCTGTAACTTTTGTAGGAGTGGGTCGCTAGACCACGAGAAGTTACGGATCGAGGATAATAACAACGTAGAAGAGGCTGAGAATGATCACTTCTCTCACTAAGCAGAATTTACTCTCCTAAACGGCTACATTGCGATTATCAGCTGAAGAGAACCTGCAGGTAGCATAAATGTGTTGCTCGGTCGACACAAGGAGAAAGAATGAAAGAACAAAACGTTTCCCGCCGACGCCTCACCAAAGAGTATGTGCTACAGTGTTTAGGAGCGTCTGCCAGCACCGCAGAGACGGCGCTTCGCAGAATCTTCCTGTGCCGCCCGAAATCAACGAGAATAGACGGCCCTCGCGCGATGCCGATGTAATACACGAGCTGCGTCTCGCGATCTTTGTCGGGATGTGCAGGCGCCTGGCCTGGCGCGTTCTCCACCGCATCTCCCGCCGCGTCCCACGCGCTTGGGGTGAGGGACGATGCGAATGTGAAGAGAATAACAGGCTCTTTAGGCGGGAGTCTGTCGCGTCTTGACACTCTACCCATCCTTTCGCCTCTGATAATCTTCAGAAATCGCTTTTAGACCTAATATGGAGCCAGTTAACCCTTGCAGTGGCGACGAGAACGTGCGCACAAAACCTGTTTGCGAAATCAGGTCTGCGAATAGGCGAAAAGAGCTGAGGTAATCGGCCGGGTCGACGAGCGTGGCTCTCCTGCTGCTCAATTGCGCTGGACCGATGCGGACGGTGAGATTAGATCATCATTAGATTCTAATCACGCTGCTTGATCTTGAATGAGTATCAAATAATGGAGGCGAAATTAGATACTTCAAATTGGTAACAATCGCTACAGCCGCTTCCAGTTTGCAAAAAAGCAACACCCGTCCGCCAGCGGACTGTCTTACGGGGGTTCTGACTGCATAATTTCAAAGTAAGACACAGTGTAACTGAGGCAGTACCGAGCTAGCTGGTTCCAGGTTAGCAGGCGGGAAATGAATACTAAAGCTTAGCTACTTTAGCTGTCACTAACCAGGCTATCTAGAATAGCGAGACTGATGGAGCTGCAACCTCGCAATCAACCTGGTGAAGCTGTATCAGAGGCACCTGCACACTTGCCTAGATTTTGTCGACGCACTGTCATGGTCCTCCCTTCATGTACCTTCTCCCATCCACTCATCTCCCTCCCGCGCTCGCGTACTGTACGAAACTTTCTAGGTTGGGTGTTCTGCTCTTCTCTCTCCCCCAAAAGCCTCATCACTTTCTTTCATGCAATCAGCTCCTCTCCTCCTCCCCTCCTCCCATCCTCCCCTCCCCTCTGCTCCTCCCTTCTCCTCCCCACTCCTGCGCTTTCACTTGCCCAACAAACAGCGTGCATGTCTCTGGCAGACATGATTCTATGTTTTGTCTCTCCGCTCTCGTCCTATCCTTCTCCAATCCGTTTGCGCTTGCCTTGATTCTTTCGGCCAGGATTTCTGGGCTCCCTCTCATCTTGGTCTCATGCATTCACCTCACTTGTATTTTTGTGCTTCTTTTTGTCCACCCGTGCTGATATATTCTGGGTATGGACTGGCGCAATCAGAAATCACCCAAAGAACATTCTCGCAACATACTCTAATTTTAGTACTTAGAGGTTGTAATATGACCATGGATCCGGTGAACTGTATAAGCAGAGCCTTCGAAAATAATATCACGACCATTCGAATATGTATTTTGGTCAGAACGCGGTTACTGTGAATGAGAAAGTGACAACTGCACAAGAACACTGTAGTACTCGAATCAGATCAACCGAGCGTGCATCTTTATTGCCGTCGAGGTTGTCGCATTGATTTTTTCCGAGCCAACGACTATTCTCCCGTAGTAGGTTCGTAATTCTTGCCCAGAACTCCCAAAAATATGACATCGTAAATTCCATAGACTCCCAGCACTAATCCAGATTTTCCGCATCTTGTTCCACAGAGCGACCTGCCGGAGTATGGAAATCTAGGAAGTGTGGGATATCACTGCTACGAAAATTACGGGTATCCTCAAGGACAGCCCACCCACCGTGAACTCTGAATCTTCCAGCCTGGCAACCAAACAGTGCGGCATGAAAAACAAAGGCGCCTGCTTGACACAATGGCCCTCTGCACAGAAGCCAGCCTGGTGCAGTGCATCTTGGACCGTCGGATCCGCCACAGGGAACCGCTGGCTAGACAGCGCGGCGGAAGTTTGTCGTCCAGCAATCCATGTTCGACCTTGAATGGTGCTGCAGTAAGTACACCAAGACCTCGCTGTTTCGTAAACGAGTTTGTGAAACTACTCCATATAATTGCTTGTTCTGCACAGACACACTACCTTGCATTACAGCCTCCCTAATGCCATTAATTTGGTCCTTACCTCGTAACATGCATTTCAAAACAACCCCAGCTGCATTTTTCAACAGAATACGCCAAACACCACACATTCTCAACTACATTCAAGTATATGTCATCCGTTATCATCTCTCCGAGAGCCTCGCCGCGACTGTTCTCAGCTTCGAGTACACCTTGCCAGCTGGCGACCCGAGAATGAGCGAGCAGAGTGCGTCTCGTGCCACACGGATGTTTGCATACGCCCCAAGGACATGGATCTTGGAATCAGCAATAACGATACGTGTCCGCGTGGCATTCTCAATCGTGAACTTGGTCTTGCCGTTTTTACCCGACAGTCGTCCGATGGCTCTAGATAAGTGCTCCCCTCTTAGCGTTTTCACATCCTGTGAGGCACAGTAGCAGGAGGCAAAACGGGAGTAAAAGGATGTGGGAGAAGAAATGGAGATTGAGTGCAGCAATTGTGGAGGCAAATTAAAGCACGATCAGTGCTCCCTTCTCATTATCTTCATGTCCTGTTGCAGGGCGGTTTGGCGAAGAAAGGTGGGGGCAGGAACAGGGAGAGGAAGGATGGGGGAATGGAAGCTACGGAATGTGCATGGGATTGGAATGAGAATGAGTGCTCGCAGCTCATGGCACATAGGAGACAAAACATGCTCCTGAATCCTCTGGGCCAAGGACAGACTCTTGGCAGGAAAGAATTACCCCAGTTTCACATTCATCTAGCACAAACGATCACATGCTCGTCTCCGTCGTCCCTCTTCTGCTTTTGAGTCGTCACAAAACTCTCTTCACCTCCTCTCACTCTCTTCACCTCCTCTCACTCTCTTCACCTCCTCTCACCCTCTTCACCTCCTCTCACCCTCTTCACCTCCTCTCACCCTCTTCACTTCCTCTCACCCTCTTCACCTCCTCTCACTCTCTTCGCCTCCTCTCACCCTCTTCACCTCCTCTCACCCTCCAAATGGGCTCAACCTGTCACCCCCTTTCAACCATTATTCAACGGCTGTCACGACACTTATCCCTCTCAGCTTTTACAGCTTCTGAGACGTCTCAAGACTTTTTCACCCTCGTAACCTCATGACACCTCGATCTAAAAAATATCTCGCCCTGTTCCTTCCTCCCTCGGACACCCCAACCCCCCCCTCTCCTCTCCCAAACTTGATTACCTTTTTCTCAGCTTCAACTAGAACCACCTCTCACCCTCTTCACCACCTCTCACTCGCTTCATCACCTCTCACTCGCTTCACCACCCCTCACTCGCTTCACCACCTCTCACTCGCTTCACCACCTCTCACTCGCTTCACCACCTCTCACTCGCTTCACCACCTCTCACTCGCTTCACTATCTCTCACCCTCTTCACTGCCTCTCATCCTCTTCACCCTCTCAACCGCCTCCCAGCTTCATCCCCACCCTCTTCCCACCCTCCTCCCACTCTCTTCCCACCCTCCTCCCACTCTCTTCCCACCCTCCTCCCACTCTCTTCCCACCCTCCTCCCACTCCGCACCTTGATCTCGAATGATTCGATATAGAGGTCATCGATTCGCAGCATGGCGATGGCGTCTGTGAGGCTGAATCCCATCATGTACGCCGTCACGAAATCGGCGCACTTCTGCAGCGCCGACGGGTCCGCCGTGTCCCTCCGCGTCTTCAGCTCCACCTTGCGCGCCTGGCGCGCGGATGCGGGTGGGGGAAAGGAGGGGGAGAGTGGGGGAAAGGGAGGTGGGGGGCGGTTGGGGGCAAAAGGAGGGGGAGCGGGAGAAGAGAGACGGTGCGGACGGAGAGGGACGGCGAGGGATGGGGAGGGAGGGGAATACCAAGTCAAGACTACACTTTGTTATTACCGATCCGCTACACCGCACTTTAAGGTTCATGCCTATGTGGATCTTAAGCAGCTCAAACAACCGAGTGTAGATGTCCGTCCACCGCTCCCCACCGCGTATCACCCACCTTGAGGTTCATGCGAATGTCGATCTTCATTTGTTCAAACACCGGAGTGTATATGTCCATCCATCGTTCCTTGAGCGGCGTGTACCGATGGGGCGGCACGGGAATCTTGCGGAACTCGAACTTGCTTCCCCCCATTTCCGCCGCCGTTAGCGCCGAGAATTTCGGCTTCACCGGCAGTTTCCCGGCCGCCGGCGCATTTGTCGGCGTTGCCGCCGTTTTCGCTGGGTTCTGCGAAGGCGAGTCTACCTCCATGTCGAATTTGAGTCGAGCGGCCCGGCAAACCAGATTAACTGGAGTTTTCCGGAAAAGGTAGTGACCGTTAACTACAATCGACTACAAGTCAGAAAGTTTCTGACTCGGTTGTCGCAAAACTGCACGTAAGGGAAGAATGCCAGGCAGAACGCAACAGGCAGAGGGGAGCGAGGGCAACGACGGCAACGAGGGCGACGAGGAATATGTGCAACGCGAGGGTTCGGACGGTGTGGTGGAAGCAAGGCTGACGACGCTGGAGCGCGAAGTACGGCGGGTGCGAAGGAGAGAAGCGGCGAAACCCTAAAGCAACAGCCTGGGAAGCGCAGCGGAAAAGAAGGGCTTTGGGGAGGGGGACGAGGTTTTCAAGGGTTGTTCGTTCCTTGGCGCTTGTTTGTACGCGATATGGTTCTTTCGTTGTTTTTGGAGTGCTGAGTCGTGGGAGAAACCATATTCGTGACCATTCTAGTTGGGTTTAGCTTCCCACATTTACAGCGATTACCATCCAGTTTAGGCACTCCAGAAACCTTTTCAGAGATTATAACTGCTTTGAGAACACAATTTAGTCACCAAGCTTTACAACATTTCTTCCTTAGCACACAACACTGTCGCCATCCACAGCCGCCTCAGGAGCAGCGGATGCAATAGAGATGAGGGGCGAGCCGGCAGCAAACATAAACGCCTCCTCCGCTGCCGCCAAACGCGCCCGCCTCTTCTCCCTCTGCTGCCGGAACTTCTCCCGGTTCCTCACCTTCCGCGAGTCGGGGTTCTCCTGCTTCTCCTCTGTCGCCGGGTACACACTCACCTGGAGGAGTGGGCAGAGTGAAGGGGACAAAATTGATCCTGTAGCCTACAACAATTTTCGCTAAGCGCCTAGAAAACGTTTTTGCTTCTCCCTCTGCTGCTGGAACGTCTCCTGGTTCCTGACCATCCAAAATTTGGGGTTCTCCTGCTTCTCCTCTGTCGCCGGGTACACACTCACCTGGGGAGATAGGGAGAGGGTTGTGAGTCAAGGGGGCGAATGCGATTCTGTACAGTGCATATGATGCTTGAGGCACCTAAGAAACTTTTCGTTTCTGCTTCTCCCCCTGCTGGCGGATCTTCTCCATGGTTTTTGAGCCTCCGGATGTCAGGGTTTTCCTGCTCCTCCTCCCTCCCTTCCCAACTACACACTCACCTGAGTAACTTAGGTGCAGGCATACGAGGGAGATTATGGGAGGGGCTGGGGAAGGTAGTGGCAGCCTAGTAAAGGATAACCGCAGAAGGATGCGACTGGCCCTAATTGGCTGAGCCCACCCAGACATATCTCACCCACCAACAGAGCCTTCCTAGTGCAAGCAGTCTTTCCCTCCCTCCATACCATCGGCACGTTCGAGGACCAGCAGATCCGCCAACATTCAGTGCCATCCGCGAAGTCCATTTCTCAACAAGTATTTCATATTCAGCTGAAACCAAAGCGTTACTCCGCGTTGGCTTGGCGAGTCATGTCATGGCATGCCAAGTCAGCGCGGAACAGCAAGCCTCGTGACTCCCTGCTACAACCTTGACCGATTTCTCCCAGGATTTGCCAAGAAATCACCCCAGATTGTCCTTTCACGCTCTCCCTCCACTGCACGCTCTTCCTGCTCTTCATCCTCTCCCTGCTGCACTTACCTTCTTCCTCTTGTCGGGGCCATACAGCTCGAACTTCACGAGGCCGTCCACTAGCGAGTACAGGGTGTAGTCCTTGCCCACGCCGACGTTGGTGCCCGCGTGGAACTGCGCACGGAGAAAACAAGATAAACACAGAAGAAACAAATCAGCCAGGCCGAAAGCGTGTGATGAGTCGGTTTTTGAGTCGACTCAAAAACCGACTCATCGAACTGCGCACGGAGAAAACAAGATAAACACAGAAGAAACAAATCAGCCAGGCCGAAAGCGTGTGATGAGTCGGTTTTTGAGTCGACTCAAAAACCGACTCATCGAACTGCGCACGGAGAAAACAAGATAAACACAGAAGAAACAAATCAGCCAGGCCGAAAGCGAGACGAAAGCCAGCCATCGAAGGGCGATAGAGTGTCTAAAACGATCAGGTAGGTACCTTTGGGTCGACCCAAAGAGTGCTCTCAGAAAGCGTACTCAACAAAAAGAGATATTTTTGTTGCAATATCACATCTTTCTGTGATGAAGATGTCTTCAGACGTTCTAACAGAGCGCTCTCAAGGAGGGCACTGAACATGCGGAAGGCCCTCGAACGTTGTTACGGAGGACAAGAAAGCAGATTCGTCAAGCAGACGCCACATGAATGAATCTGCTTGAGATGGCCAAAGTCGCGTTGATTATTCGGTAAAAAGTCAGTGGTCCTTCACGTTGCCCTTAAGAAACCCTAGTGCACTACAGCCCGTTGACTCGGCATTAACTCGGGTCTGGGTCGGGCTTTCCAAGTTGACTCGGGGTTAGGCTATCTTGCGAGGCGTATTGTACTCGGCACGCAAACCCCTGGCTCTCAAAACGGTAATATTAAATACTAGCTACTGATTTTGAAGTTAATTAGAAAGCCACTAGGATTCTTTTAATGTCCCGCTTGGTCGCCATTCAATAAAATAGTGCTGGTACTGCCCTAGCCTATCCGCCTAACGCGCATTTACCGTTGTGCCACGTTGGCGAACGATAATGCTCCCTGCCTTGGCCGGCTGATCGCCGTACACCTTGACGCCTAGCCGCTTAGCCTTGGAATCGCGGCCGTTCTTCGTGCTACCGGATCCCTTCTTGTGCGCAGCCTCGATGGTCAGCGGCGCGCTGCGGGTGGTGGGAGCGAACGAAACCCTAGCGGAGGCGGCGGGGAGAGCCGCGCCGGAGAGAGCGGCGGAGCTGCTCAGAGAGGAAATGCTGAGCTTCTGGAACATGGACGAAACAGCCGCCATGGCTACGTGCTGCGCGGTGTGCGTCTAGGAACGAAAAACACGCGGAAATGAGAATGAACGAGGTGTGGGGGACAAGGGGGATCGGGTGAGGGAGAATGGGAAGGAGACACGCGCGGGAGGGCACGGAGGCTGGAGTAGCAGCAGATAGGCTAGGCATAGTGGGGGAGAAGGGGGGGACAGAGGTGATGAGAGGGGCGGTTGAAGGGGATGAGAGGGTTCAAGTTGATGCAGTAACATGTGTCGCGAAAAAGGTTCCTGAGAGGCGGGGTGAATATGTTTTGCGAAGATGTTTTCGAAAGTTCGAACTCCTCTTATTGGGTGCGCAGCATGGCGAAATCTGGGTAAAGCTTTGCCACGTCACGAGGGGGCTCAGGGTGTAACATAGAATCGATAACTGACGTGGCGGTTCTGGGTATGCACACGAATGCGACGGCCAGTTTTCAAGGTTTGGCAGTGGGGACGTGGTAACATGCCACACACGGATTTTCGTTTTCTTTACTAAAGAGGCACAAGCTTTCGTCAACTATAAAATTTGTCTAGTTTCTTCGCTAGCCTACATTCTCAAGCTCCCATTTCTCCTCCCATACTTCCAGCGTTTCCTTGGTGCGCTAACTACGCTGCAGCATATTCCATATTTTTATATGTGATCGCTGGTCAAACTTGATAGCACAATCTCCAGTGTTGAGCAAAAGCAGGAGACCAAGAGTCAGTGACTATCCGTTTTGACTCAGACTCCTTCCTTTTGATTTTCCAACGCAATATATGAATAGAGACTTACCACGTGTCACCGGCTCCTGAATGTTTGTACATACCTCCTTGGAAACGCGTCGAAAAGGTAGGTAGCCGGGAGTGTTGTCTACTCGTCTGAAACTGCTGCGTTCTTGTTAGAAAGATACGGGAATAATGCCAGCAGTTGCCACATCGTTCGCGAGATCACTCGCACCATCTCGCCTTTCGTCATTCAGCTCCGCTGAGCTACAAGGCTCCAGCCATGGCAAAATGGAGCTCCCAAGCCTGTGCGATAGGCTCGGCCCGAGCCTGAAACTCAGCTGGAACAATAAAACAGCCAGCAGTAGGGTTGGCAACGAGTCGCGCGTCGCGGAGACATCGAGACTCGCGGTCCGATGCATGGCGCAGCCGCGGCGCGTGCAGATGGTGGCGCAGCAGATCCACCGCGAAGTTGCGTCGATGCTTCTCAACGACACCACGCTGCGCGCCGCCGTGCAACCCGAGCACGCGCTGGGCGCCGACAAAGTCATGTCGGCCATCGCCACGATCAGTGACGTGGAGCTATCGGCGGACTTGCAGGTGGGTTCAGGGTGTTATATTCGACAAGTGGGTTCGGGGGACTATGTTTCGGCATGAAGCAAACAAATCCCGGTTGCACGGTGCAACTTGCACAGACCACGCGCTGGGCGCCGACAAGGTCAGCCATAGCCACGATCAGTGACGTGGAGCTATCGCCCGATTTGCAGGTGAGTGTGGTTTACTCGTAGGTTCGGGGTGTTCAAATCGGGGTGCTCTGTTTAGGGTGCTCGGATGGCTGTTCGAAGACCCGAGCACGCGTTGTGTGCCATGGATGGGAAGTGACGAATCTGATATGGCAAGTGACATCATAACAATACACACCCACCTATCCCCCACCACTCCTTAAAAAAAATCGTCTATACGTTGTAACGCAGCCGCTCCGGTCCCTCACCACTCCTTCGCCAATCCCCCACAACGCCCCCCTCCCAACCTCAGGTGGCGAAGGTTTACGTGTCAGTGTATGGGGACGAGAGGGGGCAGGCGATAGCGATGGAGGGGCTGAGGGCCAAGGCGCCCTACGTGCGATCAGGTCTGGGCAAGAAGATGCGGCTGCGGTTCGCCCCTGAAGTGCGGTTTATTCAAGATGACTCCATGGAACGGGGAAGCAGGGTGAGTTGCTGCAATCTTTCCAATAAGCAGGGCAATCAGTTAATTATAGGTGTTAGTGCTTGAAGTGAGGTTCATTCAAGATGACTCTATGGAGAGGGACAGCAGGGTGAGTTGATGCACTACCCTGTTTATTAAGGGTAATTTGTCATTCATAGGTGTGTACGTGCCATCGGGGCTGGGAAAGAAGATGCGGCTGCGGTTCGCACCTGAAGTGCGGTTCATTCAAGATGAGTCTATGGAGCGAGGCAGCAGGGTGAGTTGGCGCAATACCCTCTATAGTTAGGGAAGTTGGTCAGTTTAGGTGCATACCTGCGGTTGGGGCTGGGCAAGAAGATGCGGCTGCTGTTTGCTCCTGAAGTGAGGTTCATTCAAGATGACTCCATGGAGCGAGGCAGCAGGGTGATTTCCCACACCATGCTTTTTATATGCTTGTCAGTGCAGGCTATGAACGAATTACAGGTGCTTACAACAATTCAGGAGAATGTGTACGCCCAAGTCTGCTTTTGAGGTGACTCAAAAGCCCCAGACTGCACTGCCCAACTCAAGAGTAGGGCGAGTTCAATGTGCTCTTGCCTCATACATGGCATCCCTTCACAACCCCTGAACTCCAGAACCCCTAAACCCCTAAACTCCTAAACCTCTTATGTTTCAAAACCCCTCAACCTTGAAACCTTGAAACCCCTAAGGCAGCAATATACATTTGACAGCGGGGTTCAGGGTTTTACCTTGTGCCTCACGATTTCGGTCCCACCATGTACCATTTATGATCTTTTGGCACTCGCCCTGCCAAATGTATACTGCCGCTGTAAACCCGAAACCTTGAAATTCTTAAACCCCGACCCGCACTCACTCTCCAGGAGATCCACTCGTCCTCTCCTTCCATTGACCCCTCAGAGCCCGGAAACCCAGATTCTGTTACCACTCAAACTCTGTAGTAACCGTAGGTGTGACTGGTAAACCGGAGATACCGCACCATTGTGCCTATCCTGCCCTGCCCTCACACCTCATGATCTATCCTTCCTCCTTTTCACTCGTGTTTCTTCTCCTCTCCCTCCCTCCCCCCCTCCTACCTCCCCTAATCTCCCCTCCTCTTTATCCCTTCCCCTCCCTCCCTCCCTGCTCTTACCTCCGTCATATGCCGAAAACCCGAAATAACTCTCCATCCTCTCACGTCTCAAAGCACTCACTTATCGGATTACCATCACCTCATCAAATCCCTCCCCACCCCTTTGCGTTCCTTCCTTTCCACCCTCCCACCTCCCTATCCCCCTGCAGGTACTCTCCATCCTCTCACGTCTCAAAGCAGAGCAGCAGGCTCGGGAACGCGGCGAGCCTCTCCCGCCAAATCTGTCCCCCATAGCTTCGGGTGGTTATGATGACGAGGATGAGGAGGAAGAGTTAGGGCGGGCTGTGAGAGCACAGAGAAAGCCTAAGAAGGGGCAGGTGGAGGGGGGGTTGGGTGGGAGAGGAGGTGGGCAGGGGAAGGGGCAGGGGAAGGGAGGGAAGAAGGGGGTGGGGAGGAGGTGGGAGGGAGACGATGGGGTGAGGCTTGAAGATTTTGGGGAGGATGAGAAGGTGTTTTTAGTTGAGTGAGTGTGATGGGTTGTGATTGTGCTACGGGATTTGACTTTGAAGGAGGTAATAGGGATTTCATGGATTTTCTGTTGAAATGCCAGAGGTGGCCTGGTGTATGACGTTGCAAATGCAAAAATATGTTTATCAATATGGTATATGTCAAGATATTACGCACGGGCGAATATAATGTCTTGAACTAGAGGCTGCTGAAGCCTGAAGCTAAAACACTGAACCACCCCTTCTAGTTCGGTCCAACTTGAAGAGAGGCCAACATCAATCATACTTCGACGCACATCAATCGTGCTAACCATACACAGCATTGGTAATAGTACTTCCTTTCAATGTTGTTGAACCTCCTGTTTCAGCCACCCCTGCTCTAAATCCAACCTTCCACTCCACCTAACCCTAAACTCGAAACCCAGCCGCCTAATGAACAGCCCAGCAGTTGCAAACCGCAACCAATGCAGCAAGAGAAGTGCCCTCATGCCGCCCCTCTATCTCAGGCACATGCACTCCACACCTCCACCCTGATACTAATGCTTCAGCCCCCCTCCTCGTTACTGCCTAAATGCTCTTATGACTCAAGCCGCTACGGTTCTTCTACGGTCTACCCAGGACACCCTCTCCACCTGTCCTTACCCCTCACCACCTGTCTTTAATCAACCCCTGCCTGTGTATGCCCTTGCTCCTCCATGACTCCTTTCCTCTCCCCTTCTCCTTTGCCCCTATCACCCCCACTCTTTCCCTCTCCCTCCTCACCTCATCTCCCCTTCCCCTCATTCCTGCTGCACGAGCTTTACCCCCCCTCTCTTCATCCTCTCCCCCCTCTCCCTCCTCTTCCTCATCTCCCCCTCTTCCCTCCTTTTCCTCCTCTTCCCCTCTCTCCTTCTCTCGGCCCGTTCTCTTATCACCCTCACTCTCTTCCCCAACTGCACTCCCGACAGGCACCCACCTAGACCCATCCACTCTCCCACTCTCCCTCCCCCACCTGGCCACCCCCACCCACTTCCTCTCTCCCTCATTCTCCCCTTTCCGCACTCCTCTAGTCTCTCCTCTCCCCACACCTCTCCCCACTCCTCTTTCCCCTCCTCTTTCCCCTCCTCTCTCCCATCCTCTCTCCCCTCCCTTTCTCCCCACTTCCACACTCATAGCATTAGATTTAACTCTACCCCCACTCCCCACTGCTTGCCCATTTGCCCGTTTCCAAACCCCCGGCACAACCCTACTGTTCCGACCCTTCTCCCTTTCCCACCCCTCTTCCTCCTCCTCCTCTTCCTCTTCCTCCTCATCTTCCTCTCCCCATTCCTCCTCATCCTCGCTCTCCCACTCACTCTCCTCATCACTCCCTCCCCTCCCATTCCCTTCCCTCTCCCCTCTCCCCACTTCTCCCCTCCTCATCCTCCTCCTTCCATCCTCCATAAGAACTCTCATCTCCTCTATAGCATCCGCCAGCTCATCACTCATTATAAGCACCTCCCCTTCATAAGCCTCCCGCAGAAACACCGAATCCCGCACCCCTTTCACCGAAACATAAAAAACCTCCGGGTGCCGCAGCAGCAGCGCATATATCCTCGCGGGCAGCAGAAAATCTTTCCGAAAGTGCGTCAGCTGGTCGATCAGGCACCGCTTTTCCACGGTCAGCGAAAGAAACTCCCGAATCACGGCAACTGCCCGCCTCTCGGCTTCCATTGATTCCGGCGATATCCCCAGCTCGAGCGGGTTTGCATAGGGGGATATTTGGGGGGAGGAATGGAACCTCTGTAGCCGGAGCAGGTCAGATTGCTTCAGCTTCAGACCGGGGGGTAGGTTGAGTTTCAAGCTCAGCCGAACGGCTTTCTTGTACCGCTGCTCCCGACTGCTGCTGCTGCTGCTGCTGCTGCTGCTGCCAGCAGTACCGGCACCACTGGCAACACCACTGCTAGTCCCTTCCTGCTCAGCACTGGTTTTCCCGGTGATATAGGCCATGCGGCTGGTCTCTGCCTTGTGCCGCCCCAACCCGATGGCTGCCTCTGCTAGCTGCTCCGGCGTCAAGGAGGGCTTGGGGGGAGGGAGCTGCGTGCCTGGAGAGACTGGTGGGACTTGAGCAGCTTGGGTGGCTAGGGTTTGTTGGGGGGAGTCTGATGGCGCCGCCGGGTCGCAGGCCAAAACAGGACCAAGATGAGGCTTTCTGAATGATGCCGCTCCTTGTGTTTCTTCTGACCCTTGCTCCTCTTGCTCCTCCTCTTCCCATCTCTCCTCGACCCATTTCTCTCCTCCTCCCCGACTCTCCATCTCCTGTTTCTGTGACTGGTGCTTGCTGTCCTTGCGTTCTCTCTCGCCTTCTTGCCCCTCTCCCTCTCCTCCCTCTCTTTCTCCCCCTCCTTCTCCCCATCCCTCTTCCCACCCCTCGTCCCATCCCTCTCCAAATCCCGCCCCTTGCCCCTCATGCCCGCCCTCTTCGCCTTTACTGCTACCCACACCAGACACCTCAACACTCTCCCTACCCTCTTTCCCCTCTCCCTCCTCCTCCTCCTCCTCCTTCTCCTCCTCCTTCTCCTCTTTCCCTTTCTTGGCCTCTCCCTCCTCTTCCTCCTCACCCTTCTCCTTCTCTTTCTCCTCCTCCTTCTCCTCCTCCCACTCCTCCTCGACCTCCTCATCCTCCTCCTTCTCCTCCTCCTTCCTCCTCTCCTCCCCACTCTCCCCCTCCCCCTCATTATCCCCATCCCCCAACACACCTCCAACCCCTTCTCTCCTAACCATCCCTCCGTGTGCCCTCCCTCCCGCTGCTGCTGCAGCACCACCAGCACCACCATCCCCCCAACCACCAGCAGCAGATTCCCCACCCCCCCCTCCCCCACCACCACAATCAGCAGCAGAACCACCACCACCAGCACTAGCAGCACCAGCAGAGGCAGCAGAAGCACACGCATAGGGAGAGCTTTTGATACTAGCAGCACGGGAGGCAGCAGCAGCAGCAGTGCCACTCTTGATACCATTCCCTCCCCCCTCACCTGCCACAGCCTCACTACCCTCTTTCTGCGCCTCTTCCCAAGCCTCTTCCCGAACCTCTTCCCGAGCCATTGCTGCTGCTTCGTTCGCCTCTGCCACTGACAGAGCCAGGCGATCGTCCCATTGCTGCAGCACCAGCACCGGCCCCCCCGCTCCAGCAGCAGCAGGGGTACCCGGAGGGGCTGCTGGAGGGGTGGCCACTCTGAAGCGATCGGAGAAGCGCGGCAGAAAGGACTGGGCATGGACAGGGGAGAGGGGAGAGAAGAGAGATGGGGTTGAGTCGAGAAGGGGAATTCGTCTGTTACTCATCCCACTGTTGCAGCACCAGCATTGCCCCTCCAGCAGCAGCAGCCGGGATACCCGGAGGGGCTGCTGGAGGGGTGGCTACTCTGAAGCGATCTGAGAAGCGCGGCAGAAAGGACTGTATGGGAGCACAGAGGGAAGGGGGGAGAGAGGAGAGGGGAGTAAAAAGGCGGGCTTGAGTTGGAAAGAGGAGTCACGGACAGCGCCAGGCGATCGTCCCACTGCTGCAGCACCAACACCGGCCCACCAGCAGCAGCAGCAGCAGGGGTTCCCGGAGGGGCTGCCGGAGGGGTGGCCACTCTGAAGCGATCGGAGAAGTGCGGCAGGAAGGACTGTATTCGTACTTGATCGCAAGAACTGTAGGTGTGAGAGAACTCTGATCACAAGAATTCCTTAGCTAAGAGAACTCTGATCGCAAGAACTGTATTCACTCAACCAGAACAGGTCGCAAACATGTTTCGGCAAGGCGGGAGAACCCGTCAAGCCTTTCATCAGTGCTTCTGAACAGCGCTCACCGTTTTGAAGTCCTCTGGAAGGCGTGTTTTGAGACGTCTCAAAACGCTCACCGTTTTGAAGTCCTCTGGAAGGCCCAGCTCTCTGCGCACGTGCCCAACACTCTCCACACTGAGGGACTGCGTTGCTGACATCATCAGCAGCTTGCACAGCTGCAGTAGATGGTGGGAGGCAACGCGAAGGTGGGGAGGGGAAGAAGGGTAGGGGGATGGTTGTGGGGGGGAAAGGGGTGCACGCACAGCCGTGCTCTCCACACTGAGGGACTGCATGCTGACATCATGAGCAGCTTGCAGAGCTGCAGTGGTAGGTGGGTAGAAGAGGGGAAGATGCAGAGGGGAAGAATGAAAGAGGGCTTGTTGTGGAGGAGAGAGCGGGTGCAGGAGCTGTCAAAAGAAGACAGGTGGGCTGCGGAGGCCTTACTTCCATCAACTCGTGTTGAAAGAGGGCTTGTTGTGGAGGAGAGAGCCGGTGCAGGACAGACAGCACAAAAGGTTGACCAAGAGAGGGGGTGTTCCGAAGCACAGCAGTGCTCGTGTAGAAAGTAGATCTTTGAGACGTGGGTGCAACGAGCACTGCTGCTGCTCGTCTCAAAAACCTACTTTCCACACGTGGGTGCAAGGACAGCACAGCACAAAAGGTTGGTGTTCTGAAGCACAGCAGTGGTCGACACTCGAGAACTGCGTCGCTGAGCCATTGGGAAAACATCATTAGAAGCTTGCTCAGCTGCAGCAGTTGGGAGAATATGTTGCCCGCACAGCACCCCTGTCGTGCAATGCACACACCCAACTGCACCGCATCACATACACCTCATCTCACCTCATCTCACCGCACTGCACCTCACCTTATCCACTACCAGGGGTTTCATGATGGCCCCCAGCTCCCTCTCCCTTGCATCCCTCCTTGCCACCTCTGGAGTCAACTCGGACCAGATGTTGCCCGCAACCCTGTTGTTTGTACCATGCACACACCCCATTGCACTGCGTCACACACCACTGCATCACACAGCGTCTCGCCGCATTCCACCACATTGCACCGCACCTTATCGACGAGAATGGGTTCCATGATGGCTCTCAGCTCCCTCTCCCTCGCATCCCTCCTCGCTGCCTCTGGAGTCAACTCGAACCAGATGTTGCCCGCACCCTTATCGTACACTCGGAATATGGATGGGAACCTGATGGGCGTGGGGGATGGAAGGGCCGAGGGGAAGGGAAGAAGAGGGGGCCAAAGAGGGAAAGGGAAGAAGAGGGGGCCAAAGAGGGAAAGGGAAGAAGAGGGGGCCAGGCACTAACTCCCAAAAGCTCAAACCAGATGTTGCCCGCACCCTTATCTTACACTCGGAATATGGATGGGAATCTGATGGGTGTGGAGGGTTGGGGAAGGAGTCGGCAGTAGGGTAGGGCCAGGCGGAATGGACACTTTGCATTGGAAAGGGGACGAGGTGCTGAGCATGCATGCAGTCAGCTCAAACCAGGTGTTGCCCGCACCCTTGTCATACACTCAGGATATTGAGGGGAATCTGATGGGCGTGGGGGCAGAGGGTGGGGATGTGTGCGGGAAGGGAGAGGGTGGGAAGAGGAGGGCATTCATTCAGTCCCGCTAGTCCCGCTAGTTCAAACGAAATGTTGCCCGCACTGCTGTCATACACTTGGGATATTGAGGGGAATTTGTTGCTGTAGTGGTGGTGGTGCTGCACCCACCCACACACTCAATCACACTCACTCACTCCCACTCACTCAAACACACTCACTCACAGTCACACTCACCTGCGAATGAGAGCTACACATCTCCGCCCTCCAGACAGCCCAATCTTGTTCCGATGCTTCCCCACTAGAGTTGTGCGGCTGTGTTGAGAAAGTTCAAGGAGCCTAGTTTTGAGTCGATTCAAAACTGAGTTGTGTGGCTGTGTTGAGGGAGTTCAAGGAGCACACACATCTACCACCCAATCCCGCACTCACTCCCTCTTTCCCACTTCCACTCACCTGCGAATGAGAGACACACATCTCCGTCCCCCAGACAGCCCAATCTTGTTCCGATGCTTCCCCAGCTCCTTGAGACTCATGCGCCCGCCCTCCTGCCAGTAAAAAAGGGACATGACGTGTACTCATTAGCGAGTCAGCAAGTAAGCAACAAGAAAGAGCTCTTGTTTCTGCCGATGCTTCCCCAGCTCCTTGAGACTCATGCGCCCGCCCTCCTGCCAGAAAAAAGGAAGGCAGCGCAATTCTAGGCTCATTAGCGAGTCTGCTACAAGGGGGGCCTACCAGTTTCTACACTCATCACATCACACTCAAGTATTTAGATCAACAAGTGACCGCCCAGCTCCTTCAGACTCTCAACAAGGTAACTAGTACTCCACATAGTTGCGCGCTCAGTAGTATATTGTAGCATAATGAAGAAGCCGAGTATGCGAATTGGGTGCTCAAGCCCCCCTGCCGATTTCTCCACATGATTGCGACCATGCAGTGAGCCGTGCTTCCTTCATCCCGGTGCTGTTTTTTGAGGCGCCTGAAAAATCTCTCCACATGGATGTGATGCGACCACCAAGTGAGTGAGCCATGCCTCATTTCTCCTTTGAGAATTCTCAGAAGTCACACTAATAGTGCTTGCTTGCCTGCTCCTTCCTTTCTTTAAGTGAGGGTCTACTGCCATTGACACGCATTGACCACCGTTGACCAGCGTTGGCCCATCGCTCACCTGCTTCCCCAGCAGCTCCTGAATGCGCTGCACGATGCGGAACTTCTTGTTCCTCTCTATCACCGCATCCAGCCGTGGCTCCTTCCGCCGCTTCACCTTGCACTCCACCACTCGCCGCTGCCGGGTCTGGTGATTAGAATTGGGGGGGGGAAGAGGGGGAAGGGGGGAAGGGGGGACGGGGAACAAGGGATGGGGAGCAGGGGACGGGGCAGGAAGTGGTGCTTCAATCACCGCATCTAGCCGCGGCTCCCACCGCCGCTTCACCTTGCACTCCACCACTCGCCGCTGCCGGGGCTGATAATTAGGGGGGGGGGGGGGGGGGGGACGGGGAACAGAAGATGGGGAGCAGGGCACGGGGAAGGAGAGGGTGCTTCAATCACCGCATCCAGCCGTGGCTCCTTCCGCCGCTTCACCTTGCACTCCACCACCCGCCGCTGCCGGGGCTGGTGAATTGGAAGGGGGGCCGGGGAAGGGGGGACGGGGAAGAAGAGGGTGCTTCAATCACCACATCCAGCCGTGGCTCCCTCCGCCGCTTCACCTTGCACTCCACCACCCGCCGCTGCCAGGGCTGGTGGATTGGAAGGGGGGCCGGGGAAGGGGGGCCGGGGAAGGGGGGACGGGGAAGGGGGGACGGGGAAGGGGGGACGGGGAACCGGGGCGGGAAGGGGGAAGGGGGACATGGGACGGGGAAGAAGAGGGTGCTTCAATCACCACATCCAGCCGTGGCTCCCTCCGCCGCTTCACCTTGCACTCCACCACTCGCCGCTGCCGGGGCTGGTGGAAAAGAAAAGGGGGGGAGGAGTGGTTGTAGGGGAGGAGGAGGGGAAGGATATGGTGTGTTAGCCAACGCACAAGGCTCCCGCCGCCGCTTCACCTTGCACTCCACCACACGCCGCTGCCGGGGCTGATGGATAAACAAGCGAGGTGCGGTCGGTGGGAGGGAGGGCAGGGGTGGGAGAGGTAGGGGTTTAGGCGAGGGGAGAGGGTGCATTAGCCATCAGGTCATGTCTTAGGCGACTTCGATGGTTCGCGCTTCCCCTTCAGCTTGCAATCAACCACACGTTGCTTCAAAGGTTTGAGGGTCAGGGGTGCGGGTTCAGGGTTCAGGGTTCAGGGTATAAGATTTTTCTTGTCCAAGGATTCATATGGAATTTCTTGCAGGGCAAGATGGAGATAGGTGCCGTTCCATCGCCCAAACAAACTGCTACCTGCCTCGAACCATGATAACAACCATGTCCCTTTGTTCCAAGGCAGAAGAAGACTTCGAAGAGTTTCCAACACCAACTTAAACCTTTCTGCTCGTTTCTCACAAACGAATATTCTCTCCGCAACCCGCGCGCCCTTGCTTGCTCGTCTCCGCAAGAAGAGTGCGGAAAATGCGACGATTTCGGAGGGGCATGCAAGGGCAATATAGATCGGATTCTGAAACATGAGAATAGTCACGAACGTTGGGCTTGGACTCGAGCGTTGGGCCACGACTCGGTGTCGTTCCCGTTTTGACAGTGTGTCCCTTCCTACCTCTTTTCGCATGCCTCCTCGTGGCGGGCGGTGATACGTCAGCGCGTCGCTCGACGAGTCGCCACGCAGCAGACTGGACGATCCGAACGACATGCTTCTCGCCGACGATCCGAACGAAGCGCCTGTTGCTGATGATCGAAGCGACATGCGACGAGTCGCACTACTCGTCGCACAGCGCGTCACCGAGAATGGGCGGGCTACGATATGTCGCGACGCGTGGAACCCGCGCCGCGGAGCCTGATGCCAGCATGCTACCATAGCGGTTTTATCGCCGCCTTTACCGACGGCGTTTCCCCCGCCGACGATCAAACTTGCGTGCTCAAACGACCGAATCTCCATTCGCCCATTTCCAGATAATGTATTTGCTACTGGCCCGATCGCGCCTCCAGCATGACTCGCACCGCCGTGACTGGCGCACGGGAAAGATACGCGAGCCATCGACATAGTAGTTAATCTCCTCGCGCCTCGATCTCCCCAGATCCGCGCGCTTGGCGACTTGCTGTGGCACTTGCCGCTGCAGTTAACTACTCCGCCGCCTATTGTGTAGAGACTATTGGAGCGAGTAGGCGCAGCCGCTCCGCGGATCGCGGCTGTAGTGCGTAGCGGCCATCCGGCAGAAATTCCCCCTCCGCCGGTCATCGCGCGTGGAAGTGCAGCTGGTTGAAAGGCGCACGGACAGGCGGGCATGACGGGGGGAACAGCGCACGGGCAGGGGGGAAGGATGGCGGCTGCCGGTGCCCGCCAGGCTGCGCGCCAAGTGGACGCGGGGAGAGCGGCGCGTGCAGTTGCTAAGCAGACGGAGCAGCGGAGGAGGCGGGAGAACGCGGAAGAACGAGCGGAAAACATTCAAGGAGACGGGATAAAGTTCACTTGGTCAAATAGATATACACGGGGCGACTCACGCCTGGATGTATTCTAGGGATTAACTAATGTAATAGACTGACTAATCAGGGCGCATGCGTATACATGTTCACGTAGTTCTAGGATCCCGATTAGACGTGTAGGATAACTCGAGGTGTCCACAAAGAAGGGTACGTGCTTCGGTAGCCTCCAAGCCCTAGTATCTCCCAGGTTCAGAAATTATATCTCAGGTTCGACAAACTGAGAGAGCCTAGAATCTCGGGTTTCAATCTGAGCGTTGGTTTACTTGAAATGGAGGAGTCTCCATGGCCTAGATACTGCCGCCGAGATGGCTCCGTGCTCGAGGCAGAACGAGAGCATTGATCTCCCCAGAAGTGGGATTGCTGACATTCTTTGGCAGCAAGCCGTATTCGGTACTCCATTCTTCGAGACATTCTATTTTGCTGATTTGCAGGCAAGACTGGGTCTCAGATCTTCAAAGCGTTTGCAGTACGTCACGAGACTCTGTCGTCGCACAAAAGATGTCGTTATTAGGGAAACTAAAATTGATACCACATCTCCCATGCGAAACCACCCATCGAGTTGGAGAATAAAGAACAGGCCATTCGGCGACGTGCTCGGCAAATCCGCCGAACCTAGACATTCACGATTTTACCTCTCGAGCAAGGAGCCGCGCCAGGTACCCAAACCTCCCCAACAATCTCAACTAGCCGTTGAGTCAAACTCGCGCCTTCTACAGTTGATTGATCCTTGAGAAGCGTACAGAGCACAATCGTACCGTTTCGACCTATAACAAAACTTTCATTATTGAAGTAGAAACTCATACCAGCCTCGTTGATAAACAAAACAGTGCCCTGTCTCTAGCAGCAACTCGTTGCTAAAACCATATAATCTTGGCAGTTTGTTACCCATATAATCTGTCCCAATACATTACCAGCTCAAACACAACATATCGACCTGCTTCTAACTAAAATTCTAAAGCTCATGACCTACAGCAGTAACTCCAGCCAGCAGTCAAGAAACAGGACTAAAAGCCAAGATCCGCCAAATTATCTGTTGGGACCGCAAGCCCATCGAGACCCCCAAGATCTTCCCCCATTAGCAGCTCATCGTTCGGCAATCCCGCCAGCCATCCACCAAAGTCATCCCCCTGCACCCCCAGCTCCGGCATCGCCGAACCAAACACCGAGCCTGCCGCCAGGTTATCCAGCTCCACCACCTGCTCCAGCTCCGGCTGGGGCGTCGTAGGCATGGCGTTCCGGTTTGGATCCAGGTCCGGGAACTCATCCGCCGAGGCTTTTCTCTTGCCCGACTTCCCCGGACCAACTCCCGAGCCTCTCGACCGCTTCCCAAGCGGTATACCATGCGTGAGGCTCGACCCAGGTGCGAAAAAATCCCCCGGAGAAGACCCAAGAGGCTTAGAATCAAAGTCTCCTGCTCCCTCCCACGCAGAAGCAGCAGCAGCAGCACCAGAGGGATCAAGCGCCCCTGAATCGTGACCCGGCGGGGTAGCCACAGGGGGGGTTGCAGCCTGCCCTCCTGCCCCTCTCTGCCCTCCCCCCACCCGGTGCTGCCGCCACCGCCCCTTCTTCCTCTCCCCTCCGCCACCCCCTCCCGCTCCCTCACCTCCCCCGGCAAGGCTCGACCGGGCACCAGTAGGGGTGGCCCCTGCTGACCCCCCCTCGCCTGTGCGCCTGGCAGGGGAACCCCCTTTGGTGAAATCCAGGTTGTCCCGGTCTGTTCTTTTCCGCTTGATGTTCCCTGGGAGTAGAGGTACCGGCCCCCCACTAACCCCTCCCCCTGCTCCTCCCCCTGCTGCTCCTGCCCCAGAAAACCCTCCTCTAGACGCTCCTCCTCCTGCTCCTGCTGCTGCTGACGCGCCTGCTGCACCCCTAGCACCACCAGCACCAGTGGCACCGGCACCAACAGCATCATTCGGGCTACCACCTGCACCAAATACATCCTCCAGTCGAGCGGTTCTCTCCTTGTGTCTGAACGACCCCTCCAAAGCATCACCGCCTGGTCCTGCCATTGCTCCCATGCGCTCCCCCCTGCTCTCGCTTCGCCGCAAATTTGTGCGTGAGTGTGGCTCTGGTGGGAATACGCGGGGAGGGGGAAAGGAAAGGAGGATATTGAATAAGAGGGAAAATACCAGCACCATCAGCAGCACCACCACACCACCACCAGCAGCACCAGCGCCACCAGCACCAAACACATCTTCCAGTCGAGCCGTTCTCTCCTTGTGTCTGAACGACCCTTCCGAAGCCTCCCCCACTGCCATTGCTCCTTGAACTCGCCTCTGCGCTCGATTCGCCGCAAATTTGCGCAGGAATGGGGTTCTGGGTGGGGATAAATGGAGAGAGAAAAGGGTGGAGGGTCAGAGGGGAGGATTTGCAGCAAAGATAGTGTGAAAGTGCGGCCAAGGGGAGAGGGTGGGGGTCGGGGAATAAATGGAGAGACAAAAAAGAGAGTGAGAGAGGGGGGGCACGTGGAGAGTGGAAGGGGAGGAGAGGTCAGGGGAGGAGAGGTCAGAGGAGGAGAGGTCAGGGGAGGAGAGGTCAGAGGAGGAGAGGTCAGGGGAGGAGAGGTCAGAGGAGGAGAGGTCAGGGGAGGAGAGGTCAGAGGAGGAGAGGTCAGAGGAGGAGAGGTCAGAGGAGGAGAGGTCAGAGGAGGAGAGGTCAGAGGAGGAGAGGTCAGAGGAGGAGAGGTCAGAGGAGGAGAGGTCAGAGGAGGAGAGGTCAGAGGAGGAGAGGTCAGAGGAGGAGAGGTCAGGGGAGGAGAGGTCAGAGGAGGAGAGGTCAGAGGAGGAGAGGTCAGAGGAGGAGAGGTCAGAGGAGGAGAGGTCAGAGGAGGAGAGGTCAGAGGAGGAGAGGTCAGAGGAGGAGAGGTCAGAGGAGGAGAGGTCAGAGGAGGAGAGGTCAGAGGAGGAGAGGTCAGAGGAGGAGAGGTCAGAGGAGGAGAGGTCAGAGGAGGAGGGATGGCTTGGGGGGGGGGGGGGGGGGGCTGTCTGTCACTGGGTGGGGACCCTGTTTGTCTGCCTCTCCAAGTGACTTGACTTGTGAGTCAATTTAGAATGCACCCTCACCCAGGATGAACAACGCACCTTCCCTGAAGCTGTCACAGGGAGAACCAGCTATCCGCCTCTGCCTCTCACGCTGACCTTTGAGTTTACGTTGAGTCAAACGTTGCCTCAACTCACATGCCACCTGGCCTGCCCTCAGCCCAGCACGCAACTTCCCTGAAGCTGTCACAAGGGGAACCAGCAATGAGCATCGACGCCACCGGACTATCTGCCTCTGCCTCTCCTGGCGACTTGCCAGCCGACTCAACAGTCACCTCGTCTCAAGAATCTCCTCATCTCACAAGATACCTCGACCCAAAGGTGGCCGCGCACCTTCCCTGAAGCTGTCACACACACGGCGACCCAGCAATGAGCATCGATGCCACCAGCCTGTCCACCTCGGCCTCTCGTGTTGCCTTTTGAGTTCACCTTGAGTCAAAAGTTGCCTCGACTCACAAGCCACCTGGCTTGCCCTCAACCCAACACGCACCTTCCGTGAAGCTGATTGCTGTCACACACGGCGACCCAGCAATGAGCATCGACGCCACCAGACTATCCGCCTCTGCCTCTCCAAGTGACTCGTGTGAGTTTACTCAAGAAAGTCGTTGCAACTCACAACTCAGCTAGAGCCTACAACATCCACGCACCTTCCCTGAGGCTGTCACAGGGCGACCCAGCAATGAGCATCGACGCCACCGGACTATCCGCCTCTGCCTCTTGCAACGGATTCTAAGTTAACCTCTACTCAACTCACGACTCACCTCACCTAGAAGGCCACTAAGCCACGCACCTTCCCTGAAGCTGTCACACGGAGACCCAGCAATGAGCATCGACGCCACCAGACTATCCGCCTCTGCCTCTCGCACGCCTCCCCCTCCTGCTCCCCCTACACCACCCTCTCCACCACCACCAGCACCAGCCCCTCGCAGGGGACTCAGCCCAGCGATTTCCAGTGCTGGCGATTCCCCTCCCATTGCGGTGTCATCAGCACCTGCAGCAGCGACAGCAGCTGCTGCTGCAGTGGTGGTGGCGGTGGGAGCGAAGGAGAGAGGGATGGGAGGGCGGGGTGGGGACGGGGGGAAGAGCGCCAGTCTCTGGCGGTTGAACAGGGAGAGGAGGCCAGGGGCAGAGGCGCCTGCACCAGATAAACCTGCCCCAGAACCGTCGAAAC